GCAGAGGTGCGTAATGGTGCTTTCAGGGAACATAAAACAACATTATTACTAATCCAAATTATGAGCAGCTCAAACAACTCTAAGAGCTAGGATAGTATAGCCAGTCTGTTTCTGACCTCTCGTTTCAGTCTGTTTTCACCTGGCTAACATAACATGATGTTCTGTCTCTTGTTCTCTGTCCATTTGTCTTTATTACTTTCTCTCATTAGTTATATGACAGAGATGGGCCTCCTGTACATAAAGCAAATATTTATTGATGAAACTATCCAAAGGTCAGGACTTGTTATTCAAACATATAATTAGCACATTACCATAAATTCCTATTCACATAAGAATACAGAGGAGACTACTGTACTTAGCACACATGTTGACACTGTATTTGGTGATGAAACCTGGGCAGTCTCAATACTACTGTGCTTTGCAGCATTTTGCCTTATGCAACAATGCAGCATGGACTCCTTGACTGTGATCAATGACTAGCCGCTGATAGCACCCCCTTATATCTAATATGTACAGCACATACTGATCTCAGGAACAGCCCATTCCAGATACCCTGCGAAGAAATACTGACCATTCTGCATAAATGAATTGAATCTTGTAAAACATCATCTTGTAAAATTGTTTTACCAAAATAGTAGTAGTAGTGGTAGTTTTATTAAATTCAAGTGCAATTATATTTATATACATCACAAATCACAAATTTGCCTCAAGGGGCTTGACTCACTTACAGCAATCTAGCTGAAATCAGCATACATTAACCTCTCTTTCCTTAAAAGATAATAAGATAACTGGCTTCTTTAACCTCATTCTCCACATCCCTCAAAATAGTATCTACAGGTGCTACATTAGTGACATGGTGTGGCTCTTTCAGATAGAAAGAAATATGGTTAGGGCGGGACACGGCAATTGCATTTATTACCAGCAGATGAATTGTCAAAGCTGTTCATTGTGTGAGGCAAATGGTGGTCTGGGTTACATAAAAGGAAAGTTTCTCACAGAGCCACCATGTTTTAGACTGCTCTGTTATTCCACAGTCCACTTTTCAGAGTGGGAAATTTACATTTTCACTAATCTGCTAGTTTGCTAGTTGAGGTTTTCAGTAGGTTACAATGTTAATATGGTTCTGTGTTTCTTTCTTGTAATTTTTGTTTGGCTACTTGCAGAAATCATGTGGCAGATGAGAAAATGATCAGAAGAGATGCCACTAAATGGCATAATCCTAACAGTGTGTTACTGAGTTTGAATGAGTGTTAGCAAAGACAACACACATGAAAACATAATGTACAGCACATGATAAATGAGCAGTTTTAATCTAATTTGCTCTGTTAAATCTCATGTCTACTGCTTTCTGTCAGTCTAAGTTTCTATTACTCTCCGGCCCTCTACCCTCCCATCCCCTCTGTCTCTCCCAAACTCTTTCTCCTCATCTCTCCTCTCCTCTCTAAAAGATGAAACCAATTTTTTCAGCCCGGCAGGAGACAAATTACTCCTAATAATCCCTCGTTTCCTGAAGAGTGCTTCTTTCTTTCTCACTCAGCCAAGAGACCAGAACCTTAATGGATATGCGGAATAAGGAGGAAAATGTCAAAGAGGGTTCGGTAATGACAGGCAGTGTTCTGGTTTTCATTGTTGTCTCGAAAGAGAGAACCACTGCACTACCACATTCATGCTACTGGTAAGATGACTTGGTTTGGCAGATGGTAGATGGTGGCTGAGATGTAACTGAATCACCCAAACAGATCAGACAGAGGAAAAAATGTTTCAACTGCAGCGCTAAGTGCTCCTGATGTACAGTAATTATATGTGATGCTTCTCTCTCTCTCTCTTGCCTTTTTAAATACAGTAGGTAACAGCTGTAAAGACCCCACGTTCTGTGGTATGGTTGTGATATTGCAGGTTTGTTCCATTCCTCATGTGAATTGTTTAAGAAGGAAGATGCAAGACTCTGTGAAAGCATACATGCCCAGGTCTCTTTGAAGCTTCTAGCTCATAATTTCATTCCTTCCTTCTTTCATTCTCCCAAAGACCCAGAAAAGCTGGAGCTTTCATCTCAGTGACTTATCATAGTGACCCCTCTCAGAAACAGAAACCTTAGACAACCAACCAACACCTGGTCAGGAGTTCTGGTAAACAAATCAGGAGGCACAAATGGCTTGTAATAGCAGCCATTTTGATGCTTTCACCTAAAAAACAGGGGCAAAAAAAGAGATGGAGTGAAACAAGGTGAAACTAGGGGTGTTGCTGTGTGTATGTATTTATATATAAAAATATTATTTGCATATAAAGCACATAAAGATAGGTATTTAGGCTATATACAGTATGTCTCTAGGCTTTAGGGGAAATACAATATTATAAATACATTTGAAAGAAACAGTTATCTTGCATACAACCTTGAAAGGAAATGATTTTAATGAACATGTCTGCAAAACATTCAGGAAGAATCTATTTTTCCTACAATAACCATTTGTTACAGTTGAGGAAGTGACATGGTTTTGTTAGATTTACGACTAAAAAGAATTTGGTTAGGTTTAGGAAAAGATTATGATTTGGGTTAAAATAACAGCTTTCTTAAAAAGCTATTCATGCTTTGCATGTCTGTATGTCTGCAATGGTCAAGTGACGTAATTTTTGTCATCTACAAATAATGTTTGGGTTCATCCGGATGGTCCACACAACAAAAGCAACTGTGCATGTACCACCATGCTTGGAAAACATCAGCCTACATGGACAGAGGGCAGACCCTCAATTTGAAGTACTACATGAATAGGAAGGTGTGCACGTCCCTCATCTATGTCCACATATGCACAAGGGTATGCACAAAGTATGTCTAGGTCATAAAGTTACAGGACCTTTATTGTCCTGGTTACAATAATAAACAAGAGGTTGTGGAACATCACAGATAAAAATACAAAGTTTCACACTAGAGTCAAAAGCCGGTCTCTTGTGGGAACTCTCCCCCTAATGTAGACTTTGTGGCTCTACATCACCAATTTTCCCCTTAACGTCTCTCATAATTAGCCCACTGTGGCCAACTGAGGTCACATATGGACATTCTCAGATAGTGAGCTATCTCAGAGATAGAACAAAAATGAGTTTTACAGAGTTTTACACAACAGACATTTTCAGCTCAGCACTCTGCTGAAATTATGCTGGAAGAATGTTTAATATCTCCCATTAAATGTTTGTTTTTGTTTCACTGGTTGCCATGCAAACTGTTGTGATAACCACAGAACCCATGAGAAATCTGTCTTGTTTTCTCCTGTGTTTAATTCTCACCACTACTTTTTTTGTAGAAAACTTCAGAAAGACACAACATATACTACACAAAGCTGGAAATAAAACTTGCTATTTCTGTCATGTTCTGTTAATATAATTTCTTAAAATACAAAATAAGATACAAATTAATATATCTAAAACTCAAGTGTTGCATGTCAATTAGTGGTCACACACTTACTGTATATACAGTACCTTAAATGTCCAACTAACATCCATGAGAACTTTTACTGAAAAATATAATTAAATAATTTAGATATAAAGAATACAGGGGGATGGGATGTAGCATTAATCCTCCCTAAGCCCCATTCACACTGCCCCCTGGAAAAATAGCAAAACAGCACTGCAATTTGAAATGATGGTTTCAAGCTTGCTTTTTCCAGTGAGTGAAAGAGACGGGGGTCGCAGAAGCCCTGAACAAAATTGGGTTTTCTCACTTGGGCTTTGCTATTTGAGGGAGGGCTATCAGACCAGATAGCTCTACCTCAGTGGTAATGGAACTGAGAGCATTTTGAAAAGCATCCTCCTCCTCACTTTTTAGCCTGAGGTTGCTTTATCCACAGCAGCAATGTCTGTTTTGATCTGTGACTGTATGGCGCATTGGTGTCATTTGATCTGGTAACAAAAATTACAGATATCATCAGATTTTAAGCAATCTTCTCCCTCACCCTCTCTAATAAATATAAGGACCAGTCCGATGTCATCATTGTTATGTAAAGACAGAGCATTTGGAATATAAATTCATGATTTTCTTCCATTAATGGAAATCTGGATGGCAGCCAATTAATGCAGCAATATACAGTAGCCTTCTAAACGCACAAACATTTAGATTTTAATTGGTTTTATTTTCATATGCTGTACCCTTTTTTAAAACTAAAATTACCTTTCAAGATTGTCTCATCACAACTGCTTGTGAAAGTGATTTGCCAGCTAAAGATAAAAGCAATTGGAAAAGAAAGAAGAGAAGGAATAACAGTGTCTTGAACAATTTTACAATATTAAATTCTTTAATTTAGCATTCTCCCATTGTTTGTTGGATTTACTATGGCTGTAACATTAGCAGAGTATTCCTTGCAAAGCACACACTAGCCACCACATTTTAAATAAGTAGCAATATGAAGCTGTTGTTGGTAATTTGATTATATCACATTATATCCTCCCACCTGCCAAATATGGAAAAATAAAGCAAACCAAACTGCATTTTATTTGTTCAAATAATAATTGTTTGTTTAGTAATTGTTGGTAATGTGTCAGTGCTTCTCAAAGTCAACACTGAGGGATTGAAGTCTTTATGAAAGGTCTAACAAAACCCCCCCAAAAAAAATGTTTGGATCTGTCCAGGAATGACACCTGCCATCATGACACACACTGTACATGAAGCCACGTGTTCCTGTGGATGATTAAATTTCTGTGTATTCATTTCCATACAAACACAGGGTGTCGTACCTGCCTGGTTGTGTGTCCTTATTTGTGAGGTCATTTGTCACTGAGAAACCTGTGAGACTGAAACCTGCTGTGTATGCGTGACCAGAAGGCTTGTGGCAGCAGGAGGGGGTAAACAAGCTGACCTTTACAGCTTTGATCACCGTGGAGGAAGGGAATGGACTGAGGGCGGCGGTAGGAGGAAGGAGATAGAGGGAGAAATGTCTATGCCAGGATAAGATATGTGTACTGCTGGATATGTCAGTTTGTAGATACAGATGTCTGTGTATGTGTGCTCGTCTTACCTCAGCCAGTGGTACAATGCCCTGTATGTCAGCATTGCTGATGTAGAGGTGTGAGACCTTCTCTGTTTGCCTGGAAGTCGTCTGTGTGCCAGTTGGGTACTCAACATTCCAGTGTAGAGTCTGAGTTGGCACCAGGTTGATCACATTATCCACCTCAAAGTCCAGCTGCATCACCTCATATGATGGACTTTCCAGTCTACAAAAAACAGAGAGGTTGATAGTGAGTTTTTGATATGCATGAAATCTTTCATATTTTCTGTATTAAACATCCAAATTATCATATATCGTTTCCAGAAAAATATCCTCTGACACCCTTGATACAGTGTGCAGGGCCAGCAGCCATTTGTTATTTTGGAATAAATGAGCAATGACAACCAGCAAGGCTGAACAGACAACATTAAGAGTGCCACCTACTGTGCCACAAAATTAAAAGGAAAAGTTTAAACAAGTTGACACACTGATAATTAAAAACAAGGCTAAGGAAAGCAATAAAGGGTTGTGATCACCATTTCAGTATACAGCAGCATGTGGCTTTTAACAAACAAGGTCCACTGTCATAATATTCTGAAACCAGTGCCCATGTGTCCTTGAGCCAGTTAAAGAATCTGCACTTTACATCCATACTGAGCTTCTAAAATGACGATGAAACAATGTTGATGAAAAGGATAATGTTGAAGATCATGATTATCAAAGTGAATGACAAGGGCTGAAATCACGCCACTCATATGTGCATGTGTTTGTGTAAGTGCATGTGGGAGAAAAGGGAGTCACATCATCCAGTCCAGTCTTTAAAAAAATACTGCAGGCTCATGTCTACATTTCAGTAATAAAGAGAGACCATTAGCTTAGCTTAAAATAAATACTTAAAGCAAAAAGAATCTGCTGGTTCTGTTTAGTTTTGTGGTGTGTCAGTACAATAGTAATCCATATCAGTGATTACAAGCAATTGTAAGTGTTCAGGAGGCAACAAATAATATCTTAAAATCACAAATATCACTCATTATCATAACATGTCTGCTGGGCAAAATCTCCAAACTGAGTTCAACATTTCTACCTGGAAACATACAGAAACTTAAAAGAAGAAATTGTTACTTCACTTCCGCTTCTCTATTCTGATTCCTGTGTTAAGAAATGTTTGTCATTTTGACAACATGGATTCCCAGAGTGCATCATGCCCTCTCAACTTTGTAGGCTGTCATTACCCACTTTGCGTCGCTGCTTGTCAGGCTACCTGATTCTGTCAGTTGCTAGTGCAAATCATATCCCATTATATCATTTATCGCCCAGACCTTTGCATCTCCGTCTTCTAGGCTTGAGCCCTTGAGTTGGTGTTAGATCTGGAGGTCAATTCCCAGTAGTGAATAATGTGGTCAGATTCAGAATTAAGGAATACAAAACGACTATAAAGTCTGTGACACAATAAAATGTCCACAGAAAGTTATCAAATGTCATGGTAAACCACTGCACACAGATCAAAAGAAACACGCCTATAAAAACACTATCTGAAAATGTGACAGTACATTTTCCATGGTCAAGATAGCAGTGAAATATACCCACGTACAGTTCACAGTAAGTGCATCACAAAAGGTCTCCTGGGTGGGTATTTGGAGATAAACAGTCAACTGTTTCACAGCATCAAGGAAGGCGCTTTTATAATAATTCAGATTCAATTTAGCAACTGAAAAATCTGACTGTATATCAGGTTCCATTCTTTAAAAGGTTTCTGTCACTGACACGCTGTTTCGAACACCCACTTGCCCACACACACACACACACACACACACACACACACACAGCAGCAGGTAGACCATGAATTAGAAAGAAAGAAGGTAAGCAGCTGTAAATTGATTTTCGAGTCAACGTTTAGAGCTTTGTCTTACAGACATACACACATGCATGCAAACACACACAAACGCCAGATATCACAAACATCAGCAATTGGCTTTGTTATGACCTTAAACCCTTATAAATGTGTGTGTGTGTGTGTGTGTGTGTGTGCGCGTGTGTGTGTGTGTGTGTGTCTGTGTCTAGGGAGATGGGGTGAGCAAGTGTTCCACAGATTAAGGGGAGAAAACTGATGGATGTCAGCTCCCTTTGACCTCTTCCCGATCCCTCCATCATGCTTGCTTTAATTACAACTGTCTCAACCAATCTGTCTGCTGCTCTCTGACTCGTACCAAAATCAAAAGTGATATTATGTCATAGTAGTGAAATATACATTTTCATGGATAAGCAGACACCAAGCCTGGTCTTTGCTGGCACCATAGCACCAGAACTCAAGCATAGACTAGGTGAACTACTGCAACTGAGGTGGTGACCTGAGTTGCTGCTGATAAGAGCAAGTAGTTCCTGAAACCACTGACAGCAACTAATATGCATACAAACACAACAACAAGCAGGATATCTACACAGTGTGAAGTATGGATGGAGCCCAGTATTTCTGTCTGAACCCGGCCTGAACCAGTTGGAGATCTTATGCACAAGTCTTATCGCTCTTATATGTAATATATACAATGGTTGAAGTGAGCTTTTGTATGTATTTCCACAGTTTTCAACGCCATACTCTT